CATCGTGGACACAGACCTTTAGGTCCTACTATACAATAGAATTAAAAGTTCAACATAGGGCCAAAATTTCGACTGGGGATACGAAAAGAAAAAATATGTATAGGTGTCGGGTGCACGTGCGAATGTGCCGATTCTCACCGGATCTTATCTGCAGTTTCGTCATGTAGTACATATTGGCGGCCCTTTGAGGCTGCGCGGCCGGATTCGTCGCTGCCGTTTCGTTCTGCAGCTGGCAGAGGGTGTCCTGCATTGGCGCCAAGGGATTCACGACGAACGAGAACGCGGCAGCCTGGCATTCCGCCTCCTCCCTGCACCATCCTTGGCACTCGTACAACGACAGATTCCTCACGCTGTAATAGGTAGTGCCGCGGTAATCGTAGTCGGTAAGCTTCTCGAACGCCGTCCTGGCTGAAACGTGGAAGCAATTTTGCCTCTGCAGCGAGCGCGTCTTCAGCAGTACCCTCCATTACGCGAGCGAATCGAAAGGCTCTCGTAGAATTCTATTCAACGCGGATTCTCCCGCCGGAACTTAATGGCGAGGAGTGTCGACTAATTTTAGAAAATACTTACCCAACGCGGCGTCGCTGCTCGCCAAAAGTGCCGTGAATATCAGGCTCGCGGCCGTGGCTGTTGCCGTCCCGATCGCAAACGAGCCCATCTGCAATGAGAATGAGGAAACCTCAGTAACAGAAGCCGTAATTAGAACCAGCCTCGGCCGAGTATTGTTCCTCCGGTTAGCGCGGGTCTGGCTCGTCCCACGAGGAACAATTTTTGCGCGCCTACGTACGCTAAATAATAATCCGCGTAATGATACACGCGAACGTGCATGGGAATGAAGCGCATCGCGAAGCACGTGCGTAGAGCTGCTTCTCCAACGAAGCGAATCGATACCGGAGCGCGAGACTAACGCGAGCGGTTGCGCGCGCGGAAATTCCGCTTCCGAGCGATCGGATACACTCTAATCTGGCATAATTCTCGTACGGACGGCGATTACCGATGGAAGGGTAGAGTTAATCGCCCCGGTTACACGCCTCATCAGCACGGCGAATCGGACATGATCGCCGCTCGCTGAACGAGAGTCTGATGCCGGCGAGAGATTCGAGAGTATACGATTCCGTCGGGGTCGTGAAAAACCCCGAACGTCTTCTCGCAATCCGATCTCGCGAGCTAGAGCGGGTGTCGCAACTTTTCGTGCATGACAATAAATAGGGGCTGATCTTCGGGCAGGTAGATGCTCCGCGTAATAACTCTCGAGCGAGAAAAATGACGGACGAGGACTGGACCGGGATTCGAACCTGGGACCCTCCACTTACCAGGCGACTGCTCTTCTTGCCTCGCACGGAGAGAATTTTCTCTTAAGAGGATCTTCCTCTTAAGAGGAAGATGATTGCTAACCTCAATTATTTATAAAGTGATAGTTTCAATTTCTCTTCGTTTTTTTTATATATAAAGATGACTGTTCCTGGTTTTACCCACATTGACTCCGTTTTCGGTCCATAGCATTATATAA